TACACGCTTTGAAAGAGACTGCATTTGCCAAGAGACGAGCTAGGACGCAGACTTCATAATGTTGAGCAGAAGAGTGAGCTTATGCTTCTTTAGCTATATAATGTTCATGTAGATACCGCACCCATTTGTACCAGAAAGGCAGCGATTCTGAAGCAGGAGAAAGCTCATAACACGTTCTTGGCAATTATTGTGCCCTATCTAAAGACCAAGTACAACCTCGCAGAAAATCCTACCGTTGAAAACGTATTAGCAGTCCAGAAGGCGTTATTGTATAGCGAAATAGAAAAGAAAACCCACCATGCGAAGCTATAAAAGATGCGGACGAATAAATCTCGTCCACAGTTGATTCATCAAAATGGCTGCGATACGGAAAGATTACCCCGCAAGGTGAGGCACGATACTGTTATCTCCAAGATAGAAATATGTATGGAAGTGAGAATGGTATGTGCCAACATTGTGGGGAATGTGTGAAGACAGTAAACCATCTAGCAACGCAATGTGAAAAAATCTTACATCTTGACTACCCACACTAGAAGACACAATGAGGTTATGCGATATTTGGAATTTTGCAAGAAGTACGGTTTGAAAGCATTACCTCGCGCTTGCGAAGCTATTCTGTTCAGGAGGTCGTCGCAAATGAGAACATTGAGATCAGAGTTGATACGCAAATGAGAACTGCAATCAGAATAAAAGCGGATCGATCGTATATCATGATACACGATAAGAAGCGACGTGGAGTAATCCTGATTTATTTTGGCATCACCAATCAGGATAGGTTGGCAGCAGTCGAGACCGAGAAAAGACGCAAATATTACCTACTGGCTCATAAATTGGGGTCAGAAATGAAATGCAGGACGAAAATAATTCCGTATGTCATAACTTGGGATGGTGTTGTGACGAACTTCCACAAACGCTGTGTGAAGCAGAGCAGTCTATCTGACCACGTCGAGGCATACATTCAATCGACAGTACTCAAGAAAACGCCATGGATTCGATTAGGAAGAAGTGAGAACGATAGGCACAACAAATCTGAGCGCAGGACAAGTACTGCCAAAGTGCCGGAATGCGATCCAGAGCTAGAATCAATAGAGCGAAAAAATATATATATATATTAATACCAATAGGAATGCGAATATATATATATGTATATATATTTTGCTTTCAATTAAAAAATATATATATATATATAT